TGTCTTGGCCCTGTCGCGTTCTTTCATTTCAGTCTGGTGAGACCCGATTTGAATTATTCTGGTTAAACCCGAATAACTAGAGTTACCCAGCTGACCCAATATGTCCTCAATGTTTGGCAGAGACTAGGAATCCAATATTGTGACTTGATTTAACTTTCGAACGTCCACCGGTTTAACTTGATTTAACTTTCGAGTCGGTTTCTTTGGCAAGACTAGAAGGGTTGAACTCCAAAAACTTAATATGGCCGCACCAAGCCGTCACTAACCATTTAGTCAACTTGCTTCTTCATTTCAGTTTTCTGTATCTCGTCCAGACGATACGGTCTACTTTTTTTTTTTTTTCCTTTGTTCACTCCTAGAAGGAGCATAGGGCTAGTGCATGATTTCTCATGCACTAGTTTCATAGCGTCATAGGGTTTAATTAGGTAGGTGACTAGCCTGCCGTAGTTTTTATTTATATATTAATTATTTGAGGTTATTAATATTTACTTTTTATTTTTCTTTTTTTTTTTTGATATCGAATATTATGAATATTTGAAAATTACTTGTATAATATTTTTATTAGTATTGTATATTAAGTTAATAATATTGAATATAATTTTTATAGTGACCTGACCGGGGTTTGAACCCGAGACCCTTCGGCTGAAGGACCGGTGCCATAACTACTGCACCAATGGTCAGATCTACTACTGATAGATTTCTGATTAGGTTTCGTAAGAGTTGGTGAATTGCGTAATTAATTTAGTGAAAGAAAACTTGTCAGCCTCCAAATAGAACAAATTATTATAATGTCTACAAATCTTGAAAAATTCGAATTTTTCTTCGCTATTCGAGTGGGTAAGCGCCAGCTGCTTTTTAATAGTTTTAATCTATTCATTAATAATATTATACTTTTATTATAATTTTCGTTTAAATCAAACAAACGGTAATTGCCTAAAGCAAGAGAGTTCAACCTTTTTTATTTATAGAAATCCTTCGAGCCCATGTGTTTCGGGAAGGAACCTCATGTTTCCCCTACTGAACCGCAAAGAAAATAATTCGTCAGAGTTTTTTTACCCAAGTACAAACATTTCAATACAGTAAAGTATTGTAAGTAAGATATAGTAGTAAAGTATAGTAGAAATCTAGAGAATTAGGTTTTATTTATTTTTTAAATGCACATTTTATAAATAATTTTTGAAATGGATATTATTGTAAATTATTTATCAAATATGTAATTAATTTGTGTAATGCAAAATGAAACAAATTAGTAAAATTAATTTCTTTAATGACTTGGGAATGCTTGTTTTTCATCACAAAGCATTTTTACATCGGGACTAATTGTTGAAATTTGCAATCTAATTTCATCTTCAGTATCCAATCTCTTTCTGTATTTGGTGTTTTTGTATCAGTATACAAAGAGAGCGATTTTCCGAATATATAAGTAGATACAAAGGACATTAGATCCAGCTTTTTTAGCAAATTTCTGGATAAAAACTGCATGATATTAACTTGATTAAACTTTAATTTCACTTTAGAGTCAGCCGCTATATCAATTTGCCCCCTTTCTTTTATTGAGAGTTCGAATGTGTCGCATTCTTGAAAAACATTTTGAACGCAAGATACCTTTTCTTTTTGAGGAGGAAAATATGCTACAAATTTTCCTGTTATACATCGTTATTATGTTATATGCGTTTTGACTTAGATCAGTTGCGGAACCTCTGTCAATGTTTCAGGGAACACTACGGTTCCCCGGAACCCAGATTGAAGACTCCTGGTCTAAAGGATCGAAATTTATTTTAAAATTTTTACTAATATCAATTGTTTTTTCACTTGAATTCAATATTTCCAGATAGATAAAACCATGAGTCGGTTCCACTATGGCTTTGGACAGAAATAATTCACTTTCCTTGGATTTTTCGTCTCCAAAAGGTGCAATACTTTCTCCTCTTATGTTTACTAAAGAAAATATTATTTTTTCTTTAATTTTATATACTGCACTACTTTCCTCTCTTATGTTTACTGAATTAAATATTATTTTTTCAGCTTAAGTGCCAAGGGCTCTTGCAATATTTGTCACATGTGTCCTGTACAACCGAGATTTTTGGTCAACCAAATTATTGCCTGCAATTCCTAGTATGGTATGAATGTGTTTTTGTATGCAAAACCTTATGGGTTCGTGTTAACATCTAGCATACTTTTCCTTATAAAGTTTGACATCAACAGCCCCGTTTAAAGTTTAAGGGCGCGCTGGGCGTAACATGAATCTCTGTGTCACAAACCCGTTTACGAAGTTACTGAGAACGGAGGCCTCGTTCTTACCACGAATCACTTCCCCAGCGTCCTGGTCAACACCAGTAATGCTGGCTATATTCAACTCTTCTAATATCTTTCAGTACTTTTCGCTTCTTTTACTGTTAAATAACAAAAAATCTTATTAGTGAATAATGTGTTTATTATATATTTATTTTCTTTACTTATACCTTCAGTATCGTTTATCCAGACTCAGATATGGACGTTAGTAAAAAAAAATCTGATGTGGTCAGCACATAACCGACCGCATTGTGTATTGTCTAGTTAAATGAAAATGTTACAGAATATTATAAAAATATCTGTTAAATACTTCTTTCCAATTTTTAGGACATTAGTAAGCTTATAGTTAACATACTTAGAAAAATGTAAATTTGGCTCTTAGTAGAGTTTCGCTTTGTGCTACTCGAATTCCCTGAAATGCTCACCAGTTAGTTTCGATAACAACCAGAACTCAAATATCAAATTTTAAGAAATTCCATCAATTTGTTCTGTGGATATGGTGAAAAATGTAAAGTCGGCCCGCAAATCAGTTCTCGAGCCCTAATCTTTCCAAAAAAGTTATATGTTCATTGCTTTAATATGAGGAATTCATATATTAAATTTCAATGAAATCGGTTGATTATTTCTCTTTATATACACAAAAGTGCATGTTTGGCCCGTAGTAAACGTCTAGTTACCGATGCCTGATCTTTCCAAAAAAGTTATATGTTCATTGCTTTAATATGAGGAATTCATATATTAAATTTCAATGAAATCGGTTGATTATTTCTCTTTATATACACAAAAGTGTATGTTTGGCCCGTAGTAAACGTCTAGTTGCCGATGCCTGATTTCTTCCAAAACATACGAATTTTTGCGGACGATCGAGCTGAGCTTATATATAAAATTTCAAGTAAATCGGTTGAATGTTTTCTTCAAAATGTTCAAAAATGTAAAACAGGCCCGCTAAAAAGTGCAGTTCCCGAGGCCTGATATATACCAAAAGTTGATCGATCTGTGCCATGGTGGAAACAAACTTACATATAAAATTTCATCAAAATCGGTTCAGCCGAACTTGAGATACACGCGTGCACACACAGACCGACAGACCGACAGACGGACAGACCGACAGACCGACAGACCGACAGGTTGCTAAAAATAGTTTATTTACACTTCCCTACTATGGAGAAGTACGTTCCCACCGAAAACTCGATACGCAAAATTTGTTGCCATCACATAACCTACCTATTGTTTACACAATACGGTCGGTAAAAAGATATCTAATGTTATCAAATAAAATGTTTCGTGATTATTTAAAGAAACGTTTTCTTTTGGTAAAAAAATTTTTTTTTGTATTTTTTTTTTGTATTTTAAAGAAAAATATTTTCTTTTTTGTTTCTCATATATTTTCTAAACTACTATGTACTATTTCAATGAATGATATATTAAAATACCTTTCTTTTGCTGAATTAGGATGATACTGATTGCTGTTGTTTATAATTACTTTTGTTTTGTCTTATTTAATTTTTGCACTTTTTTTAAAACTTTTATGCACTTCTTCTTTTTCTTTTTAACTTTTGTACAGCCTTCCTTTTTTTGTATAGTTTTTCGTTATCTTGGTTACTTCCCGAATCTTATTACAAGAGGGATTCAATGTACGGCACGCTTATTTTTTTTATACTTTGTGGAACAATTGGTAGAAATTTTACCCACTTGATATTCCACCGCTGCCGCTCTTATTATTTTTGGACAACCGTCCAGTTTTACTAATTAATGCTGACTGACTCCTTTTCATTTTTCTAGTTGTGACCTCGGAATCTTTTCTTAATCATTCATTCATATTAACGAAGAAAAGATTGCATCAATCGTCCTAAATTTTAAAAGGACGCTTGGGTCAAATCATAAAATTTCATATATGTGTTCACTTGATACTTTCTTTATTAAAATAAAGAAACACAAGTAAACAAGTGTAAACCAAAATTAATGTTCTTCTTTCCCGAATTAGCTCATTCATATAATTTGCTGTTCGTAATATGAAAACATACAAATGATTGAAAGATAGCAAATGAAAAGCAGGTGAAGTAAAATATTGAATGAGTAATATTCTTATTTCTATATTATAAGCATTATAAAAATTACTCATTAAAGAAAAAGAATAATGATTATTGAAGTTCGCTATAACACAGTGAATATAAAATAAATAGCCAATATAATTTTGAACCTAAATTTGATAAGTCAAACGAAACTAACCTTTTTAAAATTTTGTAAAAAAAAGAACAAGAAACAGAGCTTGATGTTCGCCCTTTTGTAATTTTTTTTTTAATATAATATGGGTTATTTACTTTTTGATTTAAAAAGTACACAATATTTGACTATACCAGTATCAGAATAACTTACTATTATTATTTGTAGTGCATGCACTAATACTAACAAAAATTACTAATTTGCAAATTTTAATTACTAATTTGCAAATTAGTTATTTATTTTATTATTAAAATTGCAAATCTATAACTTAACTCAATCTATACGCAATCTCTCTTATTTACAGTTATAAAACACAACTAACGTAAATAATTCCTCATTTGATTTGCTTATTGTAGGTAAAATTATATGCTTTGTTATAACAGTTACAACAAATTATTTTTTATTCTAATTTCAAAGTGTTTAATATAAAATATTCTATACTATTTCCATGAAATATAATTTTTGTCGATATATTTTTTTTACAGGATTCTGTTGATTCAGCTACTTTAGCATCTTTAAGTCAGGTAAATACGAATATTTTTTTAAGAAGCTTACCTCTTATATTTGCTTGTTTTACAATGGCAACGTACCATTTTTTTCACTACATTCTTTATTATTTTACTGTTAAATTATGCCTGCACATATTAGTAAATATTAAGCTTTAATTAATTAAAATATATTTAGTGTAGACTTTAAAAATTTTGACATTTTAGCTATTAGATAAATTCAGGAGACACTGAATTAAAATAGCTACGTACTTACACACATCGACATTCGCGTGTGTAAGTACGTAGCTATTTCATACCTATCGAGCTTATCAATCAGTGGTTCGTCATAATATGGATACGTTTCATTAATAATTACAAATATCACGTTGTCCAAATGGAAAACAACTACTTAAAGAACTAGACTTAAATTTGACACGAAAGATTTTTGTTCTGTATTTTTGTATTAATTTATATTTCTAATGAGTATAATAAGTTGCCTGGAACTTGCACCTCCTACACTCTGCAGGGACTTTATAGGGACACTGAAACTTTAATGAATAACTCATATGTTGTATTCTCGAAAAGGTCTTCTAAATTTCTACAACTACTGTTTAACGACTGAAATGGATTTTACCAGTTTTGAGTTACTGAGACAGGTTTCAAAAAAAATAATGTAATATGGTCTAAGGTTAAATTAATGTAATATGTTCTAGTAAATTTTTGTTTTGGAGAATTTTTAACACTTTTGACAAAAATTAAATATCATATGTTTTTAAGGCGTAATATTATTATTGCAAAGTTTGCGCCAAGTTCTTCAGCTTTTGTTCAGTGACGTTTACAAAAATTTATTCTACGACTTCCGTTTAACTTTTACACATTTTATTTTCAAGAAGTTGTTCCTACGTAAAAGTTTTTCAATTTCGATAAACACCAATATTTTCTTTTTGTTAAAAAGAAAATAACTTTTTTTTTCACGCTTTTTCATTTTACTTTTATTTAGCTTTTTGCAGTTAGTTATTAGATTAAATTAGGTTAGATAAAAAAAATGCAAAAGCGCTAATTTGAGAAGTGTCCTTCTACTAAATTCGACTATTTTGTGCTACCTAAAGGCCCGAGAAAATCGACATCTACCCATCGATGTTGATTTTCTCGGGGCGAGCACAGTGATAACGTTTGATTTGGAGATGCGGTCCATCTTCGCACTAAATCTCTAAGTCTCCTCGTCTACGCAATAATCAATGATCATTCACTGTTCGAAGTGAATTCTGGAAAACTAGATGATATTGTTTCAGCCTTTGGCAAACATTTTGTTTCCGGTACAGGATGTGTGGTGCTCGGTCAAGACTCAATCCTCTGAGCAGTTTTTTTTTCTCCCTCTAGTTTCTCTCAGAAATTTCAAGCACTCTAGTCTTTTTTTTTCCGTGTAAGCTACTTCTCGCGCACCTCTCTTCTCTCTACTTTACCAGCTTCGTGTCTTTATCGGGTGTTCCCCAGGTTCCTGAATACACCTTATGCTGTGATAAGATAGAGCTAAGGTCGAGCCTTTTTGGGTCATTCAAAGTAGCATTTAAAAAGTGATACTGTTTCCTACTTACCTTCTTATCTTGACGGAGTATTTTTCGGAGTATTTTGCAGTTCTGAACATGGGAGGTGTGCTTCCTGCGAGAAGTACAGGAAATAGCCTTTATATCCACATCTGCCACAACGTCACGTATAGTGGTCTGTTCACATTCTTTTCACAGAATTTAGTCCTGTGTTACGTTAGTGTTTTCTCATTCCTCTGTTGGTGTTGTCTTTTTTTTTGTCTTTATTTTCGTTTTTTGTTCTTCATGTCTGGTTCCACAAGTAACTACACAAAGGTATTCCACTACACTAGCACCCTTTGAGGCATAGTAATGTAAAAATAAATTTTATATTTAAATTATAACTATATTAAAAATTTAGAAAAGTAATGAAAAAACCAAAATTTTGTAAACAAAATTTCCCCGCCAACAACATATGTACGACCAGAACAAGAAAGTTAAAAATGTCGTCGTCTCGGCAGGAAGGCGACATCCCTAAGCAGCTTCCAAGCAGAATGCTAAATCAGCTCCTAATGAAAGATATTGACAGTCCACAGTAGGCCGATTGCAACGAACCTCAGATACCGTTCATTTGAACTCTTATAGCTTCAAGACAGTTACAACGGGAAAAGCAATTTCGTTGCCTTTCCTTCTGTTACTGTGTATCCAAATGAACATTACAATGTTCATTGATTTTTGTATCCCCTTTTTAAGTTCGCTCTCAGCATATCTCAATTACATGTATTTATGTTGAAACATTGCGCAATACGTATCTAGAATTGCACTTAAACGTATGTTCATCAGTGAACTTATCTGTGCACCTTACAATAGAACCAATCTTTTTAGCACTTTTCCAAAAATTTTTTGAAAAAAGTGCTTATTAGTTTCACTTCGTCCGTTCGTCCGTCCGTCCTTCCGTTTGTCCGTTCGTCCGTGGACATGTTTACAAAACTTCTGTACCCTTGAAGACCGAAAGCTGGAATTTTATATGTGCATAGATCTTTACTAGAAATTTTTTTCCGTAGAACAAAATTATTACCTATCTCACCCCCTCAAAAAGTTATACCCCCCAAAACCCTAAATATGGCCCTTTTTAACTATTTGTTGCAATGAAACCATAAGCATTTCCAAATTTTGCAAACGCAGAAATTACTTTAATTACGCAGAACAATGGCTTACTTCTACTATAGTTAAACTTTAAAAAAAGCAGAATGGCCGTTCAAATTTACCGTTATCTAAAATCCGCTTTTCCCAAATTTTTGATGTCGTTTTTCTTCTAGACCGTAGCTTGTGGGAGCCTGAAATTTTAGCAGCTTTTAGATATTAATAAATAGTTTTTTTCGTTAGAAGAAAGTCTTTTCCCATCTCCACCCCCCCTCACGTTATCGCCTTCGGAAATTTGTAAACTTTGAATATTTAGTGCCTTATATTTCCGAAACCGCAGCTTTTTCAAATTTCTATAAACGCAAGAAGCTAATGGTAAATTCCGTGACATTAAAAAATATAATTATTTTTCTTAACTTACGCAATTAGCCCCCTTTTCTCGCAATAGTTCCGGCATAACGTCCGCTTGGCCCTTTTTATTACCGACCGTATTGTGTATACAATAGGCAGGTTATGTGATGGCAACAAATTTTGCATATCGAGTTTTCGGTGGGAACGTACTTCTCCATAGTAGGGAAGTGTAAATAAAGTATTTTTAGCAACCTGTCGGTCTGTCGGTCTGTCCGTCTGTCGGTCTGTCGGTCTGTCGGTCTGTGTGTGCACGCGTGTATCTCAAGATCGTCTGAACCGATTTTGATGAAATTTTATATGTAAGTTTATTTTCACCATGGCACGGATCGATCAACTTTTGGTATATATCAGGCCTCGGGAACTGCACTTTTTAGCGGGCCTGTTTTACATTTTTGAACATTTTAAAGAAACTATTCAACCGATTTACTTGAAATTTTATATATAAGCTCAGCTTGACCGTCCGCGAAAATTTCTATGTTTTGGATGAAATCAGGCATCGGCAACTAGACGTTTACTACGGGCCAAATATACATTTTTGTGTATATAAAGAGAAATAATCAACCGATTTCATTGAAATTTAATATATGAATTCCTCGTATTAAAACAATGAACATATAAAGTTTTTCGAAAGATCAGGGCTCGCAAACTGATGTGCGGGGCAATTTTACATTTTTCACCATATCTACGGAACGAATTGATGGACTTTCTTGAAATTTGATATTTGAGTTCTGGTTGTTACCGAAACTTACTGGCGAGCATTTCAGGGAATTCGGGTAGCACAAAGCGAAATTTTACTAAGAGCCAAATTTACATTTTTCTAGGTATATTAACTATAAGCTTACTAAAGTACTAAAAATTGAAAAGAAGTTTCAATTTTTATCAATTATCAAGAAAAGAATTCTCTAGGAGAAAATGTTTACATTACTCTAAGTGTTATAGCCTCTCCAAACCCAAAAATTTCGTTTTTTAACCATTTGCCGCAGAAAAACATAAGCTTTTTAGAATTTTGCAAAGACAGGAGTAATGGCTGGCTACTTCCACCGCGGCATACTATATTTTAACTTTACAAAGCAAACTGGCTGTTAAAATTTACCGTTATCTAAAATCCTTTTTCCAACTATTTCATATCGATTTTCTTCCATACTTCATATTTTGGGAGTCTGAAATTAGCACCTTTAAAAAGTTAATAAATTAGAAGTTCATGCCACCTCCACCACCTCTCAAGTTATCACTTCTCGAAACTTATAAAATTTGAATTTTCGGCATCTTATTGTTTTGAAATTGCAAGGTTTTCCAAATTTCTATTAATGCGGCAAACTAATAGTAAATGCCAAGGCATTAAAAAATGTTATTGTTTTTCTTAATTCTGGCAACTAACCCCTAAATTTGAACATTATTGCAATACCTTTCCAAATTTTTTTTTGTTTTATTTCGAAGATTGCATAATTTATTCGTCCTATACCATTCTATATTTCCAACCTGTATGCTGGAAATATATTAATATACGAATGAAAGTAATTTTCATATTTTAACATAGTTATTTTATTAATAAACATAATTGTTTTTAAAAGTAGCATTTTCACTTGCTGAAGGGAAAAGTGCTACATTACAATAAAAACCAAAATATAGAACACAGTTTTTACTGCCAGAGATAAAAAAAATAGTAATGTTTTGTTTGACAAATCGTCTTAATTTAAAATGAGAATTTTGCAACATTTAACACTAAGGGAATATGAAATCTTTGAAGTCCAGACTTTTAAATTTGCCATATTAGTTTCAATTCAATTTAAACCAATGTTTTCCATTTTTAAGATACATCAGGCGAAGCTTAATTTCCAATAATTAGCAACAGCCTTTTCTCATTTATTGCAACTGCGCAATAAATTGCACTGTCTAAATAGAGTATGAATTAATTAGGCATATTACGAAGCGTAGCACATAAAATGACAACTTATTGTT